AAAAACACCTTCTCTGGGTGTGTTTTATGGTTGCTTTTTGGGCTTCCCTTAAAAAAAAACTTGATTTGTTTGTCTTCTTGTTGTTGCTTTTTAAACTCTTCTGCGTGCATTGTTTATCTGACCTCTGAGTGAGCGGGGTGGCGTTGATAGTTTGCATCGCTTTGGCACTTTGGTGGCGTCTCTTTGGTACGCCACCCACCCACACGCATGCATGCGCACATTGGCATATACATGTGGATGGATGCATCTGTGACCACCGCGAGCTGCTGTGGTTCGCGACGGCTGAGTGAATGACGCAAGAGAAAGAGACGGAGGGATGAAATGACTATGGGTTTGCGTGACTCTGCTTTTTGCCCCACCAAAAAGGAGGAAAAGGGGCTCCAGGTGCGACATACATACTGACTGTCGAAGGGCGGGAGAGGACTAATGGAAGCAAATAAGCGAGGAATAATGAGGCAATCCACTGATCTCTGCGTTCTCTTTATAGGAGTGCGGGAAGAAGACTGCAGTTCGAATTGGAAACGATGAGGAAAGACGCCGTGTCGAGCAGTGTTTTCCTCACGCAGGCATTGAGGCGATAGACGAAGCTAACAGTGAGGGAAGTATAGAAGGGAGATTCTATCTACACAAGTGTGCGTGCCTGTGGGGTTCACAAAGTGCATCTTGTTTTTGTTTTTTGTTTTTTGTTGTTCTTTTTTTTTTCTTATTTTGGCAACCTTCCTTTCTTCTGCGGGTTTTCATTCAGCTGTGTAGCCCCGTTTCTCCACTGTTCCGCCTTCATTATTTTTCCTCACGATCCGTTCTTTGTTTGTTTGACAGGGAGGTTACTTTTGGAAATGTTACTATCTTGTTTTTTTAGTTTGCTTTGTTTTTCTCTCCTTTCTGTCCCTTGTCGTATTAGCTGTGCCAGAGAGAGAAAAAAAGAGCAGGATGGGGAGGATGGGATGGGGGAGCACGAATGCGTGCCCACGCGGAGGGAACACATACACATGCAAGGGCGTTTTGAGGTGTTGAGAACCAAAAAAATATATAATGAGACTTCTCGAGGGAAGACAAGTACGCGTTGTTGGGAGCCACTCCGAGCGCTGCAGCCGGCCGCTCCCTCCCACCGTATTGTACGTGTGTGTGTGTGCCGTGTAGCTTGTAATTGGAATCGAGACTAGAGAGCGAACGCAAAAAAAGGGGAGAATAAAGCTGGGGGATTGTGAACGCGCTGTTGGCTGTATGTGTAGACGGTGGCGCAATTTGTGTATCTCCCCTTTTTGTTTTTCTCTGGCGCTTTTTTTTTTCTTTGCTCCTCCTCGTGTTTGCGTCAAGGCCTACCTGCAGTTGTTCCCTGTGTGTGTGTGTGTTTT